AATTGACATTTTCAGTGCTTCATTTTTGTACCCCACATATCATATAATACAGTGACTGACCCAAAGTTGGTCTGCAATAAATACGTAATGAACTGAAATTGTTGTCCTTTACTTTCTCTATCTGTATATGATGAGCAGAAAAATAGGCAAGGAATCAGAAAAGCAGAATTGCAATTTTGAATCTGCCTTTTACTAGCTATGTGATCTTTGCAAAATCTTTTCACTTTTCTTATTATTTTGAACAATGACATTTGAATAATCTTTAACATTCCCTTTACTTTCATAATTTATAATCTACAGAAAATATAATGACCCTAGGATGATTAAATCAATGATGCACTAGTAAATGTTATTGACTGGCTCTCAAAAATAAATAAAATTTTTAAAAAGGAGCCTGATTTGGAATATTTGCCTATTTCTATGGTGTAAATACCCTTTACGTGGTTGATTATAAGCTACTAATCTGAGATCACTGACCACGGAGTTGAGAAGAGATGAGAACATTCAGCTCTTTCAAGCTACTGGAGCCAGTTCCAGAGCAATGCAGGACTTAGAATACTAAATCATTCTACTCTATAGGACTGAAAATATGCTAATATAATTGAGAAAAAATTAATAACAGAATAAGAATAGGTTTCCAGGTTAATGAGAAAATTAAGTCTCTTTTGCAAGGATTATCTTAGGTTTTAATGCTAGTGATCACATTAGTTAAAAAATGGTAGGCCATGTACTGTTTCTTAAGTCACATCCATATATAATGAGAGTAAAAGTTGAATCTTTAGCATGGCAGGAAGCAATATTTAGAATCTGATCTAATGCTTTAAATGTATTTTTTATAGCTCCAAGATTAGTCGTAGGCCAAGATAGAACAATGTTTTAACCCCCATCACCCAAGGGATTAGTATCTAGAAATGTTGGCAAGACAGTAGTTTGGTGCCAATTAGAACAGAACAGTATTTAGAACTGTTTATTAGAACAGATCAGTATTATTAGAATAGAACAGTATTATTGAAATGCTGTAGACAATGCAAACTAAAAGGAATGCCCTCTGAAAGGAATGAGAAAGGATATTAAAGAATAACAACCTAAGAGGAGACATTAGGCCTGAAAGTCACAGTAGAAGCTATGCATATCACAGTCTATCTATAGAACACTGAATATGCCAAGATCCAAGTTTAGTTTTCGTGTTACAAGCACCTATCATAAGGCATTAACAAGAAAATTACTCAGAAAAGATATAAATACACGTGACTTTATAAAATATGGCTAACTTTTAAAATAGCTATTTACAATGTGTACTGTTTCTAATATTGTATGAGATAAAACTGGATCACAAAACCTAAAGGTTGTGTGTGAGCAATTACATATCCTGTTAAATGTCAAGTGTCGGTTTAAGTTTGAAACTCTTCACCCTTAGTTTTCCACATAAAATTGAAGTTGGTAGCTGTGAAGAGTATTTGGTCTTGACATTGAACATCCAAACTAAAATTGATCATAAATATTACATTTTGCTTCTACTCTGATTTAATCAACATTTATCAAGAAAAATGCATTATTTGGTTAATAATAGCTATATTTAGGGCCAGCATGTATAACAATGGGATTACTGGTTACAACTGATAGAATGAAATATCTGCTAATCCTGTCTGTCTAGTCAAGTCAGCAGTCTTCTCTCCTTGTAGTGGATTTTATTAAATGAGACTACTGAGTAAGATTTTTTTTTTTTTTTTTTTTGAGATGGAGTCTCGCTCTGTCACCCAGGCTGGAGTGCAGTGACGCGATCTCGGCTCACTGCAAGCTCCGCCTCCCGGGTTCATGCCTCAGCTTCCCGAGTAGCTGGGACTACAGGCGCCCACCACCATGCCTGGCTAATTTTTTGTATTTTTAGTAGAGATGGGGTTTCACAGTGTTAGCCAGGATGGTCTCGATTTCCTGACCTCATGATCTGCCCACCTTGGCCTCCCAAAGTGAGTAAGATTCTTTTGAGATGCTATGCAATCCTTTCGATACTAATTCCCAAAGGAGTATCTTTTGGTAACTATTTGGAGCAGGACAGCACAGGAATCGAACAAATATCCGGCACCACTGTGTCCTCTAAAAGTTTTATATAGTTCATTGTTTTCTTTTTAAAGTGCACTAAAGCCTGTTCTAAATCAGGAACTTACCGCAGACTTTCCACTGAACAACTCCATCTGTCTATAATAGATTTTTCTTTCTTCATCGAGAATAACCAGCCCAATGACAATCTTCTCTGTAGCTTCCCTGATTTGGCGGGAAGTTATGTCTCATCATTTCATGGAGCAGAGTTCCTTGAGACTGTCACTTCATAAAGAGGTCTTACTTAGAACTCCCACCCAGAAGGTCCAAAGCTATGTCTTCTATTCCTATATGCATTCCAAAACCCGAGTTCCTAGGGCTTATATTGATACTAGATATCCCACGGGCCTAAAAGCTGTGCCTTTTAGGTCCTTTTCATTTCTGACATCAAGAAATTTCTTTCTCTCAAACTTGGTTAAGCATTAGTTATTTTTAATATGCTTTTTGAATCTAACATTTCTGTATTTTGAAGAGGATGCAACTATTTTGAAGTTATCTGCTCCAGCTTCTAGAATTATCAGATTTTAGAGCTGGATGGGACCTTAGAGATCCTTTTTTCACTCCATGAATTGAGATTTCAATTTATTTCTATACTATCAGGTACCAGGTAAGTTTGGCAGTTGAAAAAAACTACCACAGGTTATTTTTACTTTTCTCCCTTCAAATAGATTCTAAAATTGATAGAGATTCAATTTTATATTAATTGAGCATATCCAATGTGGTGGGTTGCTGAAGGCAGTAAGAGGTATAAATTATAGCTCCTGATCTTAAGGAGCTCATATTTTAATAGAGGCCTAAATATAAACAACAATTGCAAAATGATGTAATAAATCTATTATTAGAAGTATGAATGGAATGCTTTGGTAGATTCGAGACTCTTAATGCACCATGGGGAAGCCAGAGAAGACTGGAGGAGGTACATTGTTGTTGATGGATTATCAAGCGTTAATGTGTGCTTGTGTGAGTTTGTGTGTGTGTGTGTGTGTGTGTGTGTAAGTGTATCTGTGTGGGCTGGTGGTTGTAGTTATGGCATTCCAGGTAGTCCCAGAAACAGTGCTGATACTAATCGTGTAGAAATCAATAATTTATTAAAAGGGAGCTCAAATAAATCCTGGGTTATATATATTTAATCTAACAAATAGTTGTTGAGGTCAACTTTGTTGGTATCATCCACCATGAAATAACATGCCTTGTGTATAAACATGGCAGTGATAGTATGCTCTTTCTTACTTTCCTGTTGAGAATATTAAATATTATAATTTTCATATTTAAAAAACTTCGATTTCTTGGAATAAGCCTAAATTGTCAAGTTTTAAGAAAGATCAAATGCAAAATCATGACAGACGGTTGCTACTATTATCTTTTTACATAGCTCTCCTCACAAGGTCTTCATCCTCTCCTACTACCTACCACCTTATTCAACTCAAATCACTGCCCCTCCATCCCTCTCTTCTCTGCTTTCTCAGTAAGGCAATGTTAAGAGTCAGAATGATCATCAATGCTGCATTCTGATTATGAACTCAGATAAGTCATTAAAGATTGAAGGAAAAGAATAGTAATTGCCAGGACAGGAGGATTTAATATTTCTCTGAAGAGGATAGATGATGGCCCAAAAACAATGTTAGGGAAATCTTGGTAAATATTTGTTCTCATTATTTCTCCTATTTTTTTCTTTGTAAACTAGGTAAGGATCACAAATGATATAACTATGGATTAGTGTCTTAGACATAGTAGGTATTCAAAACATATTTGGTGAATGACCAAATAAATTGAATAAAACAAACAAAACAGCATGGGTCCTGGGACAACAGGATACTTATATGCAAGAATGAACCTGGACCCCTCACTCCATATACAAACATTTATTAAAGACCTTGGGAGGGGTTAATGTGGAAAGACTGATCAGGTAGACAATTGCATACAATGAAAGTATTCTGGATAATAGTGATTGCACAACTTTGTGAATACACTAAAAACTACTGAATTGTACATTTTAAAAGGATGAATTTTATGGTAAGTAAAGTATATCTCAATTTAAAAAGTAGATGCAAAGAAGAAAAACTAAAATAAACAATAGCAGCAGCAACAAAACCATGGCCCAGAAAGCTGAATTGAGGCTCTTATTGAAATGTTCTGCCTAGGCAGTCTTAACATTGGAGTGGAATATTGTTATAGATGAATGAACACTTTTTAGTTAAAACAAAATTGAAGATAGTTAAAGGATATGCTATATTTCAATAATTATAAGATGCATATTTTTTCAGGTTTCTGAAATGGGAACGTATCTTTTTTTTTTTTTTTTTTGAGACGGAGTCTCACCCTGTTGCCCAGGCTGGAGTACAGTGGCCCTATCTCGGCTCACTGCAATCTCCACCTCTCGGGTTCAAGTGATTCTCCTGCCTCTCCTGAGTAGCTGGGATCACAGACACATGCCACTATGCCCAGCTGATTTTTATATTTTTAGTAGAGACAGAGTTTCCCCATGTTGGCCAAACTCCTGACCTCGGCCTCCCAGGGAATGTGTCTTTTAATTGACAATGTGTCACAATTCATTTGGCTTCATTTTTTTCTTTGTGGTACCTAAAATTGTGAGATGTCTTAGATTTAATGAAATATAATACTCATTTTAAAAACAATGTGGCAGAGGCAGAGGTTGCTAGCTGTACCTCAATATGTACTCTTCCCACACAGTAATAAGAATTTTTTTAGCTGGGGAAATGATCAACTACCCAAAGACTATACTTCCAGTTTTCCTTTAAGCTAGGTGTGGCCATGTACCTAAGTTCTGGCCAATGATATGTAAGCAGAGGTAGTGTGTGCAACTTCTGGTTTATGACCTTAATGGGAAGGAGCATGCTTTGCTTCTTTTCCTTTCTTTCTGTCTTTCCTCCCTCCTTCTTTCATTCCTTTTTTTCTCTTCATCCCCTCCCTCCTTCCCTCATTCTCTTCCTTCTAGATAACAGATGTGATGATAGAAGCTGAGGAGCTATTTTCATCCATGAGATGATGACACGTATTGAGGTTGGTAAAGCAATGAGAGAAGATAATGAGTTCTTAATGATCAGGAAACCAGTATACTAGCCCTAGACTGACTGTACAGAATTTCATGTGATAAAGAAACTAGAAAATTTGTTGAAGCCATTCTTCTTTCCTACAGGAACTGACCAAATATTCTATCAAATATGAATGGTTTCTAAATGTCATTTTTCTGGGAGTAAATATTACCACTTTCTGCAATGGGATAAACTTCACTTCCCCTACACACACACACCCTTGTTTGGGTGAAATGAGTTACTAAATGTAGCATTTATTTATAAGGAATGCATTGTGAATAGTTTCTCAATTTTCATTATCAGGGAAAGATGATGATTTTAGCCCACATTCAGTGTATGTTTATAAATAATACAATCAACAGGACTGTCTGTTCAGTACAATGGAGGACAGCTTTTTCAGGGCAACTGGGATTTCTTGATAATGCTAAATCTGTCTCATCAGCTGAATTTCTTGGGCTTTATGTGGCAGTGTAGTAAAAATATATGATCAGATTTCACTGTTAAGAAAAATTCTTTCAGCAATACATGTACAGTCAAGTTTCTTGTGTAGATAGCTGAACATGTGGGTTATGAGATTTTTAAAAATGTCTCATGACAAACTTTATGGAAATGCAACAATCTAGACATCTAGTTTTGTCTGAGAGTGGCATGGATATGAAGAACTGTGCTGTTGGTGCTGATGCCACGCTGACTTTTGGCAGTCACACTCTTGGTTCTTCATATTTGAGGAGATGGGACAGTAAGGAGGCCTGTTGGCTTGATTTTATTAATGCCACCATCTAGAATACAGATTCTTGGATATTTCATCTTCACAAGGTGAGCTGCAAACTGGGAAAAAAAAAAAGAGGCAAAATGTTTAGAGGATATACAGAAGATATCTCCAATCTCATGTTTTTCTCAGAATTTGAAAGACAAAATTATTTTAATGTTATGATTGCTGTCACCACTGTATAATAAGTTGTCAACTTGGTTATTATAAATTAAATTACTCTTTTATATGCTAACAATATCTTTATCTTATGGAATAAATGTCTCTTTTGTTCTCTTTTATGATTTTTTTTGAATATGTGATAAATATACATGGTAAACAATTCAAATTCAGTAGAAAAGGGTATACAATGAGAAGTAAACTCGTTCCACTTCTGTTCCCAGTCCTCCCTCTCCAGAGGTCATTAATGTTATTATTTTTAGGTATTCTTCCAGTAATAGTCAAAACAAGCTCAAATTTACATTGAAAAAATTTTGATATTATAGTCCACTTCAATGTCCCATAGAGGGCCCATAAACCAGTTGTAACATGTTTTTGGAGCAATCACAACTAACATTTTGAGTTCCCAAACCTGGAATGAATTTGAAGGACAGATCCAGGAAGCCTTCTAGATTCTAGCACAAGAGGACTTTGTAAAAGTTATCAAGACATACACATATCTGACTTAGCTCAAATCTACCTGTTCAGGATCATCGATTGCGTTTTCTCATTCTTTGCACTTCATGATAAAGCAGCCCTGAACTGCGTGTCAATCCCAATATAGCATACTGCTTTATGTTCAGACCTTTTCCTGGGCAGATTGTCCAATGTTGGGCACTTGCTCCATTTCCCATCAATTCCTGTCCCCTCTTTAGCTCCTCCTCAATAGTAACCCCCACACATAACCTCAAACCTGCCTGACTTCTATTCATTTTCCTGCTCAGGCACTTCCTTCTCTAGGAGCTAAGTTGCCATTAGGGTCCCTGCTTCTCAGCTCCTGAAGTTTCTTGTATGAATCTCAAATCTTTGGCCTTACCTCGTTTATTTAAATTATCCACTTAAGAGCTTCCTTCTATTTTGTTTTCTTCCTGGTACCTGGCACATGGTAGGGGCTCAATATATGTTTGCTGGATTGAAGTAAACTATGCCAAATGATCATAAAACCCAGGGCAAAATCATGAAGTAAAGAAGTTTTTCTTTGGCTCTTTGGCTATTTTATCTCTGTTCCTTCTCTTTGGTAGTGTCCTGTTCCTCTTCATTGAGTATTTGTGTCCTCAAGTTCTCTTCAATTACTCTCTCTACTAAAACCTGATCTTAGATCTTTCAACAAAAACGACTAAGCTGCTCACAGTGCTGTTGCTTCTTGGCGCTATTTGAAGCTTAATACTTAGTAAGGTCTCAAGGCAGCAATCTAAACTTTAGGGTTCAAAAGAATGGGCTGAGTGGTTTGGCCAGGACAAGTTCAAGGCCTCACTTCCAGAGATTCTGCTCTATTGATCTGGGGTTCAGGGATAGATAGTTTTAAATAAGCACCCATAGATTATTCTAAAGCAGGTGGCCCATGAACAATTTTTTGAATAATACTGCCTTAAGCCAAAAGGATAAAGTTCTCGGTCAGTAGGTGGGATAAATAACGCTGGACTGGGATCTTCACAATCTCCAAAACAACTCACATAAATGGGTCTTAGTACTGCTGACCCTACTTATCTTCTCTGTGATTCTCTGCAGTGGCTCCACAGAGATTCAAACAGCTGTTTATATTTCACATCCTATCCTCTCTTAGAGCTACCAGATGGGAATCTTTGATAGCAACTAATGTTGAAGAGAAACAGTGCTCCTGTATTTCAAAAGGTGTCAAGTGAGCCAGTGTGAGCTGGTCTTCATCCTGTTCTTACTTCTCTTTGAACCCCAGTCCTTAAGAAAGCAAGCAGCTGATTCATCTGCCCGAGTCATGTGCAGGCAGAACAGTCCCTGGTACCATATGATTACCGAAACATCTTGGCTGCATTCTCCTACATGCACAATTCAATTACCATTTAGGCCAGAATTCTAAGATAAACATAACATTACTGAAAAAGCCTTGTGGATAAGCAGTCTTAACTTTCAGTTCTTTCAAAACCCTGTAGAAATCAGAAAATGAGTAAGAAAGGACTGTACATTCAACTAATCTCCCTTAAACTATGCTGTAGAGCTAGAAAGAGTTCTGTTATTGTAACGAAGTCCCTAACAACTAGGCTGCTACTGAGCTGGAAAATGGTAAAGACAAAGCAGGCAGAACAGAGCACTTTGCAACAATCAGGTTGCTGCTGTGTTGGAGGTCTAAGAAGAGTAGAAATGGAGTGCAAGGAGATAGCAAATGTTTAGATGCCTTGAAAAGAAGCAGGCTGTGTTTAAGAAAAAGAGCAACTGTTGAGTTTTCACATAAGATTGAGTTCTGATCCTCTGCTGTTTTCAATTATCCATGTTAAATACTGGCCCCTGGCAGTGAAACCATGACTGCATCTTTTCTACTGTTATGGAAACATTTCTTTGTTCAGTTACTTGGTCATTCATTTATCAAGCATTTCACTGAGCACCTACTAAGTAGGTACTAGGCACTGTTCCAGTTTTTGGAGTGCTTAGAGTTCAGTGGGGGAGATAGTAATAGACAATACGAAGTAGTATAGGTAGCATAAAAGCAGAAGTTGGCCGAGAGCGGTGGCTCAAGCCTGTAATCCCAGCACTTTGGGAGGCCGAGACGGGCGGATCACGAGGTCAGGAGATTGAGACGATCCTGGCTAACACGGTGAAACCCCGTCTCTACTAAAAAATACAAAAAAAACTAGCCGGGTGAGGTGGCAGGTGCCTGTAGTCCCAGCTACTCGGGAGGCTGAGGCAGGAGAATGGCGTGAACCCGGGAGGCGGAGCTTGCAGTGAGCCGAGATCGCGCCACTGCACTCCAGCCTGGGCCACAGAGCGAGAGGCTGTCTCCAAAAAAAAAAAAAAAAAAAAAAAAGCAGAAGTTTAGGGATCTTAGCAATCCAGAGTAATAAGCAGAGTTTCTGAATTTAACAGGGGCTGGGGAGCTGGTTTCTTTCGTCTTTCCTTCTATTTCTCTTTCATTATTGACTTAAAGGGAATGAGAATCCAGATGTGATGGCCACAATTGCGATACTTATCAGACAGTATTCTTTGTGGCTGTAGCTTGATAGGTTAGGGAGGAAAGAAAAGGCTGTGGATGTGCTGGGGTAGATTTCCACAGTGTGAAAAAAGTCACATCATACGTGGAGGAGATACACAGTGGGGCAGGGGAGAACCAGGCATCTAGGGTATAGGGTTTCTTCCACCTTTCATTTTTTATCTGGCAGGGCTTTTGACTGCATACTCCACAGAGTGCAGACTCCACCCAGAAATTACAAATCTAGACTTACTGAGCAACATCCTTGGTGGAGGTGGCAGGATATCAAACTGAACCAGTGGTTATAAAGTCAGCAAAATCATCTGGGTGCTTTTACTAAATTGCTGGGTAAACAGCAATACCCAGGTTTGTTCCAGACTAGTAATAAATAAGAGTTTCTTGGGGCAGGGCTCTGACATCAGTTGTTTTTAAAAGGGTCCCCCTTTCCCAGGTGATTCTAATGTGTAACTAGCATTGAGAGTCATTTAAATTAGATAATGGGATTAATTTGCAGGTCAGGTTTGTCTGGGACCTCAAACTGCAATTCCTATAGGTATATGTGGAGAGCAAGTCACTTTGCACTAGAAAAGGCTGCTGTGTTTGTAGGGCTGAAATTTGTGAGGGCCAAACTTTATCAGACATAGTAGAATTTAATGTGAAACAGATTATTACAGACAAAAAGGGAGATTTCATAGTGATAAAAAATTCAATTTGCTGAAAAGATATGACAATTCTAAATTTGAAAGCATTCAATAACAAAGACTCAGAATATAAAAGTGTGATAGCACTGAATGGCAAAATAGACAAATCCACCATGATGTTAGGTGAAATAACTAGAAAACAACCAGTAAGATGCAATATTTGAACAATGCAATTAACAAATCTACATAAGGAACAAATACAGAACACTAACGCCCAATACCTTCAGAATAGAATTCTTGTTAAGTACACATGAAACATTTCCAAAATTGACCAATTCAAAAAAGCAACTCTCAGATTTTTAAAGGATTAAAATTATTCAGATTATGTTCTTTGATGACAGTAAAAATTATGCTGGAAATCAGTAACAAAAAGGTGACTAGAAAAATCTCTAACTCTTTCTAAATTAAGCAATATGCCTCTAAATGTTACAGGTCAAAGAATTCACAATGAAAATTAGAAAATATCTTCAACTGATTAATAATGAAAATAACATAAAAACTCGTGGGTCACCACTAAGGCCCACTATAGGGCCACATCCCATGTAGAGAGAATGGAGTTCTTCAAACTGCACAACTAGCTGAGATCTATATAGCAACATTCCACGTGAGGGGGCCAGATATGCTATCTGCTGGCACAGGATCTGGGGACTTCCAGACCTCATTTTTGTGGACAGCACTCCAAGTGGAGAGGGTCCAAAGCTTTTGTATTTTCACCATTCCTCTGGTTTTTAGGATCTGGTGCTGGAATTCATTTCTAGGGTGTGGTTAGGCACACCTTAATACAGCAGTATCTGAATGTGGAAGGCTCTTGTGGGTGCCACTCTATCTTGTTTTCTCTTTTTATCTTGCATCTGAACTTGGATTAAGAGACTGGCATGTTTGCCTGGAGAAAGTTAAGTTCTGCTAGCAGCAGAATAAGTGAAGAAAAGGGATTGTTAAGCAGCCACAGAGTAGTGTGGGTGAACTAAGGCCAAAAAATTAAAAGCTGATGATAGGTAAGATTCTTGAGGTATGTGGATCAGAATCATGTCTCTCATTGGGCTTTCTAGGACACAGGTTTGGGAAGAACTCATGGTAGCAGTAGGAAACTAAGAAAGCTTTGGGGTTCTGGAAGATTTAGGGAGGAACACATGGCAGGACAATTAGGTTACCAGATATGAGTCTGAAGTTGATACTGGAGACTGGACAATTGGCATGGACTAACTAAGACCCTGACAAAGCT